TATTTCTTTACATTAGACAATTCTCAGTCACAAGAGAATGATGATGACATGAATAGTTGGGAATTCGTTATACAAAGATTCACTAACAATACTAATATGACAATCGCAGGTGGACTATCATCATTTATGAAAGGAAACAAAGATCGATTCATTCATTATATAGGCAGTTTTACAACAGAACCTTTTACTGAAGGTATCATTTGGATACTAGTCTCAAGTGCGATGAAATTAAGCGATAGTTCGCTCAATCGTCTTCGTACAAATGTCGTTCCTAGCAACTATCGACTGACGCAAGCTCTCAATGGTCGTCTTGTTCGCCGAAGCTTTCTTTCGACTTCATGGAACACATAATAGAAGTTTCTTTTATTAGTTTAAATTGATGTCATTTATAGTAACCATTAAAAATAAAAGGAGCTGACGACTCATCATAAAAACACACAACAAAGTGTTCTATAAATATGTTTGAGATAAAAATATAAACATCTGAATTGTGCTCAATAGTAGTGGGCTGATTTTTTTTATGAATGATAGAGCAGGACAAAAACTTTTTTCTTTAGAGAATTATTAATGAACACTGCTTTCACTTGACGGCGGTCGCTTTAATACGACAGTGTAATAACATTTTAAGGGACGAGTATGTGGACTTATGGTATTGTCGTTGTGAAGGTCATATATTTACCTAAAGTCACCTGTCGCGCCTTTATCCACACCATTAACGAGTGTCATATTTCGAAACTTGCTTAGTAACACATTTCAAATCAGGCATACAACAGCGACTAGCACTGGAGAGTATCTGTAGAGTAAAATACACACGAACTTATGCTTTTGCTTGAAGGTGATAGATAGAGGAAACAGTGAAGAATAACTGGTGTGTGTTATTTGGAAAACGTTTCGCAGATGGATAGGACAGAGGTACTTATTTAATTGAAAATTACAGTGATATTCGAAATAGGCACAAAAATGAATGTGATACTGCCAATTAATGGGAACTGGATAAGGTTAACTTGTAGATGGACAGCAAACAAACCGAGAAGTACTAGTGTATCAGTTTGGATGCCATGTTAGCAGAAGAATAAATTGAAATTATTTTCATGTGTATTAGTGGTTCACTACTCGTGATTAAAAACAGAAAGACTCAAGTCTTCGAACAATTTTCTTGCAAATTAGGAACGTCATAGTTATGAACGTATGTCTTTGTGTTCTTCCTGAGTATGAATGTGATTTATAATGACATATTTAATGGCTCTAGTTCTTCTACTTGTTCATTGAATATTGATTATATCATCAACAATAGAGAAGTGTTTTGTTGCAAGCTTGATTTTTTCGTTCACTAGTGGATTGCTCTCATACCCGAATCAGTTGCACTAAGAATGCCGATCCTGATCAACAGTTGGTATTTTCTAGTATGCAGTTGATAGTTGGAAAACCTTTTTCTAGATAGAAAAAGGCTAATTTTCTCAAATTATTCATTCGTCAGCCTCTTTTGGCTTCGCTCCGTTATTTTCGATGGTGGATGTGAGAGTATCGATTATGAGTGTAAGAGCGTAATATTAGCTGATCTTCGATATCCACGCCACACTTACATCTACATGCATGCGTGTATACCCAAACCCTCATATCCCAGTCATTATCCTTTACAAAAAAAAATACTAATCGTCGACATCATGTATATTCTACTTGGATACCAAAGCGTAATAATTCAAATTGTTCCGTTTTCTGTTACTGTTGTTCTATTCAACTGTTTTGATGACTTGAATAATGGAATTCTTATTGCGTTGAAATTTGATAAAATATAACACTATTTTGAAACAGTCTTTTGATCAATTTATGAAAACCATTGAAAGAATAATACAAAGCATCAATAATGTCGATAAAAAGATCATAGTAGCTTCCATCCAAATATATATTCTGTATCATCATTTATTATATTCTCTAACCACTTATCAATTTGATTGTTTATATGTACATTTATTGACGTATATATCACCTATGAATGTGATAGAAAGACTACATTCTCAATTCAAACTGCCAGAAAAATGATCCATAAATTCATATTTTCTTCGAGTCATATTCGCACATGATATAAATAAGCTTCACCAACATACATGGAATTGTTTATATTGGCAAACATACCTTCAGGATCGTTATCAGCCATATTGTTATTGGTGAAGGCTATGGCATTTGGATTTCATATCGCACACAAACTAAATTTCGCTTGATCGAATGATAGTTCTATGATATGGGAATCTATTGTTTATAGTTGTGAAACAGATTTTTCAATGACTGAAACAAATTCATATTGTTGACTAAATATGGGAACGATTAACCGAACTTAAAATGATCAATCAAATTATCATCTAAATAAAATCAGATCTTTCAATAGTTGTTAGTTCAAAAATGAATTTATCTTTCCAGACTATATTATTAAAAGTAACATGAAAGTTATACTGATGAACTATTGCAAGCACAAAGTACATACGATTGGGCAATAAAACACATATCTTTGTTCATAATGATGAGTCCAAGCACTTATTTAAGAATGAAAATATCAGATTACATATACACCTAATAAAAGGATATGGAGACAACGAATCACATAAAGTTTTACAAACTATGGAAAGCAAATTTTTGAAAGTTAACTTGTTGTATGATTTATCAACATCTGAACAATTATCCATAGATAAAAACTTACTGATTAAAAGCATCTCACTCATCAAAACTAGAGAAGTTTTCGTGTAATTTGAACGATCGTTGATCGATTATCAAGAAAAATAATATCAACGTAGTACTGACTACTACTTTTTTTTTGACTGCCGAGGCTATCGAAAGTTATTTGTTTCTTATCAATAGAAAACCAAGGTATTGTTATAAATTTCTTCGTCACATGCGACTGTTTGCATTGGAAAATATCATACAGGTTTTTTATAACTTTTACTTCATTTGATAAAGTGTACTTTTTCGACACATAATGCTAAAGATTTGCTAATCTCGAAGACATTGCATTATATCAACATTTATGAATTCTCTATCTTTGAATAGGCCAACATTTACTTTTATCTAAAGAATGTCATATAAGATATGACGGAGAAAATTAAAATTACACTGGACCGAACGAAAAGTGCATATTTACTCTTAAGGGGACCCGCTCCTCCCATTCCGGCGTTTCTAAGAAACGACCGAACGAAAATTCCTGAAACTTTCAAGGTAGATAGTCCTCGAGTAGTAGAACAAAAGTTGTCATAGACACAAACTTCACTATGATATGATACCAGTCTTCGTTGGTCACGCTACTAAATATAATATAAAATGTCAAGTGTGATTTCTAAAAAAGCAAAGATCATTATCAACACTCAATATATTTTCTAAAATTGATCAAAAATAGTCATTAACAAGTAATTTTATTTTGTCAGAAGTAGGTCAGATGAGATTTGATGAAAGCCTTAACATATTTGCACCGAGAAAACTTTTTCGAAATTAATGTTAACAATTGTAGTCAGATTTATATTTGCAAACATTCAATCGTTTAGAGATTGTCAATGCATTTTCATCTTTTATTTTACAAAAAAAGACTTCATCTATGCATTCTTTTCGAGAATAAAAAATGTTCAATATTATAAGTGAACACATATTTGCATATGGTTAAATCGATGATGAATAATACTCACAAAAATCACACAGAAAAATCGTCCACAATCAAAGAATATATTGTTGGCTATGACTATTCTCTCTATTTATGTTTATTTAATATCTTTTTGACTATGTAAAACAAACATGTATTCAACAATTTTCTCTAATTGTATTCGTCCTAGTAGTTCCTACTAATGTAGACTCTTATTACATGTTCATATAGGTTTCGAAGTGAATAAAATGAAACTATCGACTTTTTTTTGGTTTTATTGAAATTTATCAGCACACACTATTCACCGTCTATTCTTTCGATTAAACTAGTTTCTTTTGTTCAGTGGATCACGACACAAATCGCTATATTCAATACTAATAAACTCGATAGATCTAGCAATCAATTGAATAAATCTATCGGTATTTTTATTTACAAAACAAGCAAACATATAATAAATAGTTGATAAGAAAAATAAAAGAATTCGGTCGTTAATATTCAGTCAGTTATCAATAAAGAGTACCGCTGTAGCATCTACTGAAACTTCTCTTTTCAAAATGACCTAAAATATACTTTTTACTCATGGATAGTCATCATGCAAATAAATAAATCTATGAAGCATTAATCCGCCATATCAGTAGAAAATGAATGTTAATATTCTAAAGGAAGAGCGCCTAGCAGCTAGGAAAATATCTACAGTATAATGTGTTCTTCTGAATATTTTTTTTGTTAACACAATATATGGTTTTTCACAAGAAAAACGAAAGTGCTGATGCAGTCAATTTTAGTGAGAAAGAATTTATAATAGTTCGTAAGTTTCAAGTAAAATTTCAATCTGATAAATAAGATGATTAATAAATCAGACAAGATCAAATTTCAATGGCTTAGAGATGTTCACAAATATAGCCTGTTTTTTTTGTTTTCTTTATAAATTTTCGGCTCCTTAAAACAAATCTATCAGATTGCATCGATTTCTAGAAGTAGTAATCTAAACAAAACAGCATTTATAAAATGAATGTGATAGCTCTTTGATGAGACTTTATAACTAACCGAGAGCTATTCATTTTCGTACTGGCAGAGATGATTCGTTAAATCACCACGACAATATTGATACATATCTTTTCACTATTAATTTCTATTCAACAAACAATAAATTGATTTCAGATACTTTCTACTAGTTGTTTGAGAGAGTTTTTATAGATCTATGTAATTAGGATCTTTATTTTTAGACTTAATGTAATGATCATGTCCAAAAGTTGATAAAAAATATTCTCATAAATCAGGACCGCACATATTGTGTCTATAAAAGCGCATATGAGAACAAAAACAGTCTTTTTTAAGCTGAAAGAAAAATAAAACGCCATATAAAAACAGGTTTTTAAATTCATAGTATAAGGGTTTTGATAGTATTATGGTTCGCGTTTACTTGCCGTATTGCTTCTTTTCCTTGATCACTAAGTTGATTGCGTGCTAGATCCAATCTATTCAATGATCGATTGTTCTGTATCATAGCAACTATGTTGTCGATACTTTTATCTGAAATTTGATTCTGTCGAATATCAATACATTGTAATACTTGATTCTCTTTCAAAGCTATACAGATAGCTTCCATTCCTTTATCACCAATTTGATTGTAATCGAGGGAGAGCATCTTCAATGTTGTATTTGATCGAATCATCGAAGCTAATTCTTCTGCACCGACATCTGTCATACAAGTTCTGCCAATCTTCAATGTTGTCAAAGTTCGATTATGTTGAAGAGCATGAGCAATTAATGTTATACCAGTATCCAATACTGGATTACCGTGTAACATTAAATTGATGACTGTTGAATTGGCTCGAAGCATTTCACTGATTGCTTGAGCACCAATTTCTGTTATTTGATTGTCTGTCAAGTTTAGATCAGTTATGGTAGTATTAGATACAAGTGAATTCATAAAAAGTGTAACTCTTCTATCTCCTAGTGAATCACCGCCTAGATGAAGAGCTTTAACTGCTGTATTAGTTGCTAATGCTTCGAATAAATATTGAACACCATCTTCATCAACCAAATTTTGACCAATTATTCGGAGAGAATTCCAAATTCGATTCGTTCTCAATTCATCTGCAATTAATTTTATATCATCGTTAGATATTGTATTTACATAAAATGTGGCTGATTTGCATAAACGCATTTTTCGAATGAGTATTTCTAATTTTTCGTTTTCATATGTTGGTGTTGAATATTCTTCGATATCTTCATCATTAGTAGTAGCCATTAATTAATAATTGTTGTTTTATATGTCGTTTGAACTATGCGAAATGACTCAGAACTATTGAAGAAATTTTTAATAACAAACACGAATTTGCAAAAATAGAATATAATGTGGCTTTTTTTCGACGTTTATATGCGTAGTGTATTTTTTTTTTTGCTATCGACAATGTGTTTATGCTTCTGTTGCATGTTTTTCGGCCGTCATTACAGTCTTCTTTATCGCTTTTTTGCCAATGCAATGACTCATATCATCATACGTGTTACTGACATGACGAAGTAAATACATTCATAGATTTATTCATTTTCATTTTCATTTTAAAGAAATGAGGAAAAAATATGTTTCTTTTTTTGCTTTTTTTTGATGACAACAATAAGAAAAAAAAAAGTTTGACATCGGTCTTAATCATAACTTTGATGAAATTTAATACAGTCGATAATTTGTAGAGGGATAAATTGATCGACTGAGTCATCACCGAAGAGTTTTTTATTTACTTATTTTTTTACATTTTTTAAATACAACAGATGAGCTTGATCATTTCAAATTGCATTTTGGATTAGAAAAATAATATTAGTTTTTTTATAAGAAAAGATAAAGCCATGTGAAATGTTAGTCATTTAAATTTATGCATACTAAAACTTAGAAAAAAAAAGAAATCTTCAATCAAACGAAATACTTTTCCTAGTCATATAGTCAAAATCTTAACTAGAAAGCTGAAAGACAACATTTACAACGTTACCAGAAATGCTAGTATGTCCAAGAACGATCAGTTTGTTTGAATACCCTGCAATAACTTTGTATCTGACTACGCCGCTGCTAATATCTACATAGATTAGTAATTTTGACTTGAAAATTAGCAGTACTTAAACAGTACATTCAGTCTTTGGTTGAAGAGTGAATAAGTTTGTATAAGGAACGTTTCAAACATAGACATCAAATCCGAAGATTATCTTAAAAGTAACGAGATGAAATTTGACACTCTCAGAATAACCGTATGATAGATGACTTAGATTACATGCAAATTATTAGGCTATTTTGCATTCCAGTGGATTTAATTATTTTCCTTTCATGGTCTACTATTTGAAATTCAATGCGAATGATATTATCGATATGTCTGTAGTATTACATGAATATGAGATAACTGGACATTGTGTTTTTTTTTCTCTTTAATCATTATAAATATTGTACAGGATAGCCATATTTCTCTTTCCATCTAACTCTTCAATGGAACTTGTTGGATCCAAAATTTTCAGACCTATATCCGAACGATACCAATCCGATGGGATCTACTATTCGATGTATACTTATACCTACATGAAAAATGAGTAAATTTTATTTTTATATTTTATCAATCATTTTACATAATGTCTTAAACAAGAATAATGTTTTTTTTTTCCTATAGTTTATGAGATCACATTACTTTAATATTTCTTTGTGACTCTCAATAAATATGTACCCTATTAATTCAATAGACCTTACAGAAATTAAAATATCTCAGGTTTATATTATTGTTATTACTATCTAATTAATTAGTTTGATAAAAAATTTTATTTGTTTAAAAAAAAAAAAAAAACTACAACTGGTTAAACTTTATTACTAGCGATCATTGTCGCTTCATCATGATATTGCCAATAATCATTTACATATCCTTCTTTGACATGTTTTAATAAAACATTTCGTCGAGTATCACAATACTGATATTTTTCAAATATTTTTCTTTTAATTTTATCAAGTACGATTTCTTTAGTTAAGTCTTGTTCTAAAAGTCCACTAAGTTCTTCACATATTCTTTCTAAATCAGCTTGATTCTCTTCGAAAACAATTGATTGATTATTTTTTGCTAAATAATATGCAAATGGATATGTATATATTAACGTTCGACGACAATTTAATAAAACATTAAATGCTTTTTCAATTATTTGAATATCATTCTTCGATAATTGTTGCTCATTTCGAATTAGTTTTGGACGAATTTTTTCGAATAATATCGATTCTAAATCAAATGAATGTTCATGATTACGAAAGCGATCATAATAATGCATATATCGAGATAAAGCAGCTGCGTATTGATTTTGTAATTCATCACTAATTTGATTTTGATTGTAACGATTGCATTCTGTATGTTTAGACCATATACCTTAATATACAAAAAAAAAGATAGTATTATATTTGCTATTGAAATCTAAGTGAGTAGTGAAAATGAAATATATAATAATTCAGAATTTGTAACACATCTATATGAATATAACAAAACACGACGAGTATACATATCATTTTATTTATCCTGACTCCATTAAATACTCGAAGCATTTAACAGAATTTCTCAATTTTATTATCTATTTTCTATTTCACAAGAAAATCTTATCAGTAAAGTTCCTGTTAAGCTGATATTTAAAAGTGACTTATCCTTCTCATCTTTATTATATTAATATAAAGAATATGTAATTTGAAGTGATTCCACTCTAAACGAATTCGAAGGAAATACAGTTGCTGAAGAAACTCGGTAATATATACATTTCAAAATGTACCTTTCTCATTTTTTATTGACATGATATTTTTAATCGTCTTATTGCGAAGTTATTATCTCGTTGCATTGACAAGAAAAATTAGAAACCTCGACTGAAATTTACAAGCTGTTTCCTTCGCACAAAATAGTTTCTGCTCAATCTCGACAGAAAAGAATTAATATAAAATTAAGCAATAAAAACTGACAAAGAAATATTTTCAATTGATTCATCACTTTTGAATACGAACTCAATGTGTAAGTTAAATTCCAATAAGATTTAAAAAATGTTTTTTTTGGAATTTTAACATTTTCGGAAGGAAATATTTTTTTTACGTTGACATTTGCAAAACATTTTACTAACAAATAGATCTGTATGTAGGAAGAAATCTTACATTGAAGTACTCGCATTCAATTTGTTGGTATATACTATAACAGAGGCAAGAGTTTCCTCAACATGTCTAGAACTCTGTACAACAAATCTAATGAGCGTTATCTTGTTGAGATTATTCGATTTTCATTAAAGTCTAAATGCAAAAGTGATTGATCAGTTGAAAATACTCTCTTGTGAAGGCATGAAATTCTTTGAAATTTAGTTTCTTTCTACACCACTGGATATACAGTCCTTGTTGTTTTTCAGTAGTGATAATGTGTTTATAAGTAGCATCACAATTATGAATATTTTTCATAATTAAATTTATTTGTCTGTGCTCGATTACTTCAAACAATTTGCTATCATGATAAATACTTTTAAAAATCTTTGTTCTATTTTTTACTACTACCTATTCAATATGAGATCATAGTGAAAATCAAGTTTAGGATTGTAAGACTATAGTCTAACAGTGTATGTAACATTCATCATGATTTGTATCTATTCATTACAAAATTCATTGTGTACTTACCAAAGCATAACCAACAAAATTCATGCATACAATTTCTACATGTCATATGATTACAGCCACCATTCTTTTCAATATTAACTTTACATTTTGGGCAAGTTTTTGTATTAGCTTTTAACCATACAGTTGTATGACTATCATCAAGTATTTTTTTATTCCATTGTAACAATAAAATACATTTAATTGGATCATGCCATGGTTGAGCACATTGAAAACAGAATGATGTTTGACATTGATTACATGTAATCAATTGAGCATAATTATAAGCTGATGTAAGAGATGTTGCATTAATAATATGACCACAATTTTTTCCTGGACACCAACGAGCACGAGGATTATTATCTACATAGGAATTTAATATGAGTTTTGTATAAATATGTTTGACAAATTCATTATTATCTAAAAATTTTGTTATAGTTTCATCATCGACAAAAATTTCACATTGAGAATCTGGACAAACAATTGTTTGAGCAAGACCTTCATTAATAATTTGATTTATCAAATAATCTTTCCAACAATGATTACAATATGTATGTTTACATTCAAGACTGAACATATCTTTTTTTTCATCTGAACAACAAATTGAACATATATCAATTGATTCATTTATAGAAATTTTTTCAGTAAATGGATTAATAATTTTTGCTTGTTTAAAAAATTCATTATGATTAGTTTCATAGAATTTTTCTAATAATCGTTGTTTATTCCATTTAAAATAATGTAATAGAAGTTTAACAATAGTTGATGGTAATTGAAGAATATCTTTTACTTCATCAACATAATTCATCATTAATTCAACATATTGATTTTGAGTTAAAATTGAATAATGAAAATTTGGATTTATTTCATCAGATGGTGTTAATGGTTCATCAATATATGGTTGAATAGTTTCATGTTGAATATCTTCTTGAATTTGATAAAAATTTTCGTCAAATTCATCAGCAGGACTTGATGGTTCACTAATTTTTTTTTCTAATTCATTTTGTTCAGAAAATTTCAATGAAGCAGGTAGTAATTCTGTCATATCATAAAAGCATTCATCATCATCAGTTTCCTCTTCACTCATTATTTGAAAATGTTCTTCTTTACTTTCAACTGTATTATAAATGGCTCAGCTTTTTTTACGTTGTTTACGATAGTTTTGGTTCATGTACATACTGAATTGCACAATCATATATTGATTTGATGTCAGAACAAATGATTTTCTATGACTAATAGATGATTATTCTGTAAGGTGAAGTGAAGCATAGTTGAAGCTGTTTGCTAAACTTCTTGATTCCATTACTCCATGTTATACTTTTTCATATGTATGGTACCCAAATTGTCAACAGGTGTCCTTAGTTGTCGTTGAAATATACTATTAGAAGCTGAACCGTTTGTCATAAAAAGTCTACGTGATTGATGTTTCTTTCTATACTTAGAAAATTATATGACATCTTATGTTTTTTTTTAATTCAATTCTCGACGTCCATTGACTTTTTTTTGAAATGTTATAAGAAGAGACAACACCATATCTTATCAGTGCTAAAACGATCAGTTTTTTCCAGAAAGATTACAAGTAAGAATCAATTCTTAAAATTCCATTCAATTTTATTCTTGAAAGAAAATAATGGAACATATCAAGGTGATGTTGATAAACAAGGTTAAAGAGGTACTTATTTGGAGTTGCTTATGTTCTGTAATGAAATGTTAAAACAAAGTCTCTGTAATTTTTGCTATGATGCCGGTACTCTATGTGTAATCTCATAAGACTCACTCGACCTTTTTTTATTTTTGACAGTTTGATATTCTTAATGAGACAAGATAAAACTTTACATATTCTAAGAATAATATAAAGCAACTGCATCAATAAATTGTTCATTGTAGAACTATAACTTTTTCTTAAGCAGTGAAGAGAATTTTTTTTTTTCTTCAATTTGCTGCATATTAATCATTATGTGACATATTTCTGTTGACTTTCTTCAAGACTAAGCATCCAATTTCTTTTTGAATGAAAGCGCAATCTCGGTTTTTCAGTACTACTGAACTATTTTCTCGTTCTTTATTTGATGTCTGGAATCATTCTAATTGTTTTTCAAAGTTGTTCAAACTTAATCTACACATAGCTCTTAGATTTCTAAATTAAATTCGAAAAAACACTACTACTCATTCTATCATTGAGAATAATATTTAGCTGTTAAGTTTCTTTTGCTCTTCATAAAATAAAAACTTATATTGTATGTGTACTGCGCATCGTCCATCGAATCGGATGCGTAGTATGAAGAAGACAAAGAGACTAAGAGAGTCTCATCAATTCTCATTGTAGAAAGAAAGTCACGCTTTATGCACATATGAATGTGATCAACCTACGAAAAATCCAAAGAAAAAAAAGCAAGCACATCCTTAAAGAAGATAATAAAAATGATCAAGGGCTATAAATCAAAACGAGATATCTTCTGAAGTAAAAGCTTTCGAACTAACGATTTATAATGAAAGTGCAACTCAATTTGTATTTTTTTTTATACAAGGAACTAAAATTCATTGCATCTTTAGTCCCTAAATATGTAGTTTGATTTCATTCCAACTAAATTGTGCTGCACGTATGAATTTCAATTGGAGATATTTTAAACTGGAGTTTCCAACGTTTCTTTTTAGATACAATTTAATTTCATATAAAAGATACATGAAAAACTCACTAATCACACATTACAAGAAGTTTAGTGAAGAAAGGAGTAATAAAAAGATTGTTCGAATCCAATAATTAAGTAAATATATTCTTTTTAAAAGAAATATAAATGTTTCGAAATCAGATTATCATTTTGTTTATCGGTAGTGAATTTAACTTTCATCAACTACGTATGAATAGAATGTATTCACAACATAATATCAAAATTTCACATTTACCAAGATCATTCCATAGATAGTAAGCATTTGTTGATAAGGGAATTCATTTCATAGGAGAAAAACGTGAAGGGCTTCAAACAATAATAATTTTAAAAAAATATTAAAATGTAGATGTTTAAAAAGCTTTTTATACTATCAAAAAAATACAGTTCTGGTTCAAGTATTGCTTATGAGTGACTATTGATTCTGTTGTCTGATATTTTGACTAGCAATCGAGCTTGGTAAATTCTGATCGCAAGCACAAATACAAAATCAATAGATCTTGATGCAAAGAATTTACGATAAGAACACTACGTTTTTTTCTTAAGGCTCAAAAATGACTTTTTTTTTGACATAATTGTGGTTTTTCACTATTTCAGTGCGTTAACTTCCATTTTGTTATTAGCAAATAAAAACTTGCATGCATACATCGTGCCAAAGATAGATTACTTCAATCTAATGTAATCTTGAGACGCATGGAAGACTCCATTGTCTTGAACAGTCTGACTACGGATGCTTTCTTTATAGATCATTGCAATCAATAAATTTTCAAGGATAATTTGAATAAAACAGATCACTTATGGAAGAAAATTTCAAGGTTAATGGTTAAAATTAGCCATAGATATTGGTCATATTTCGATGATTTCCATCAACTTTCATCTGAAGATTATCTAAAGAAGATTTCATAAATCAGCCCAACTAAAAATCGTTTGACATAGAATTTTTATTGTTGATAGGGATAGTACTAAGCTGTCGAATGATAGGTCTAACATTATAAGATTTATCTTCTATGTTCGGATATCGTTGTCTGAAGAAAAGAAACGTATATTGGCCTTCTAGCTCCTCCGCATGAAGGCAAATCAAAGTTCAATATGCTATGTTTGTACTCAAATTATGAGACTAAAGGATTATATTTCTGGTATTGCTTTCCTGATAATAGAACTTTTTGTGGCAACTGAATTATTACACCAACATGATGGAGAGTTGAATATTTTAAAAAATTCAGTCATAAAACAGCTTTTAAACTACTATGGTTGAGACTTTGTTTTACTATATCCCTTATGCTTTCCCTGTTAATCATACGGAAGAGAAACAGTAGTTGAACTGTAATAAAGTAAGTGCTACGATAGAATTAATCCCTAGCTTCTATTCATATGAACTGATGATGCAATAAAAAAAAAATATGAATTTCTCTTTCCTTTAGATGTTTTGTGAATAAAAAACGAAATTTTACATATTTTAGCATCTGTTTTGTTGTAAAAGTTAAATTCTATTTGATTCATACCCTTGTTAGAAATTTCGTTAACAGATTTCAATAGATATTTCTCTACATATATTTTTAACTGAAATTTTCAAATCTCTCTCTTATGGCCTCATTTATGAATTGATATGCATCTTGATAATTAAAATCTTAATTTGTAGAATCGGAAAGTTGACTTGAATATTTTGAAATATTTATTTATTTGTTTTGACTTTTGAGTTGAGAATGTTTTAATAACGTATATCATTAGTTCTCTATTCGAATATTATTTCATCCATGTTGTATCACAGTCATACAACCATTCTCTTGATGTAGAATCATTAAAAGGAAACATCTAAGAATTTGATTGATTTTTTAATGGAAGGATTCGAAAATATTAATATCACTACTGTAATAAATTGTACATTGCCCAAAAAAAATAAATGATGTTGCTGTTATTTCTTTCAAAAGTGAGTCATTAAAATTTTGAATAACAGTACAATATCATACTTTTTGTGATCTATTATTTGAGATTGAAACCATTCTCATACATAGATTTAGTAAGAAATGTTACAGAGCAAAATGTACAGCTTTTGAAATTTACATATATAAATTATACACTTGATAGAAGAAGAGATTTAAAACTAATATTATAGAGTTTTGAAAACGAGCTAGTTAACAATGTAACAGTTAATATAAAATATAATTGATTAGTAATAAATAAAAAGAGAAAGAAAAACAAAATAAAACCAGGTTAATGATGATGATGAGATATATTGTAAATTACATGAGATTACAAATAGCTGATGTTGGATTCAAACGATCGTTAGTTGTGTATGGTACGTAGACTTTAATTTCTTCGAGAAAAGTAAGATAGTCTTTTAAACTAAGTGTTGTTATAATTTGAGACCTAGAAACGTCTTCCTTTAGTGAAGAAAACATAGCTTGTTGGCTTGTTTGACACATATCGTAAACTTTATGCAATAAACGACCGTTCATTCCTTCGAAAGCTGGTAGAAGAATATTAAGTTCTTTATCAAGAAGAAACGATTTGACATGATCTTTAGTCCACATATCGATACAATGTGGATATTCCCTGAAATAAAACAAACAATTGATCGTATTTTAATTTGATGTAACAATGAAGTTTTCCTATAATAAATACAAGTGTAAGTCATTGTATGGGTAAGCCAGGATAGTTAAAAGTACACGGATGGCAGATTCGATGAAGATATTTTAAAAAAGGACACGAGAGGTTGAGAATTTTTCAAATCTTACTTTCTATTTTTGTATTTTAGTAATGACAACTTAACCGATTGGATCGCACCTTTCATAAGTACCAGTACAAAATTTCTGAGATATACCGAATCAAAATTTCTTTATCAATAAATATGAATGTAGAAAATCATTTTGCTATTTTAAAATTGACATGAACGTTATAAACATGATGCTTTTTTTTAGACTTTTAAGCGTTTATTCAGAAACGAAGACAAGACCTGTTGGTCACCTTTGTCAACTTATGTCACAATTTAAATTACATCTTATTAAAAATCATCAAGATCTCTGCATTTTATAAAAAGCACTCTCAGAACAAGTTGGCGAAATTTATTTTCAGCCGTCTAATACTTCTAATTGCATTATATGTTAAAAGAATACGAGCATTGCTACGTCCTTAATATGTTTATCGATAAAAAGTGCATGACGAAGTAAATTTACTAATTTAATTTCAAAAATTTCTGAATATCACCCTTTTTATAACTTAGAAGAAAAGTAACTCATGTCTAGCATAGCAATCCTCGTTCCAAAAATAGACTTACACAATAGGACGTGGCTCTTTATTATTTTCAGCACTTGGAATTGCTTTTGGTGCCACATCCACTAAAGAATTTAGATTATGATGGATTTGATTTTGTTCTACAGTTGTTGAATTCGAATTA